AAGAAGCTCCTGTACTTCTTTGGGTGTAGGATGCACCTTCCTACGCGCTGTAAAACGCCCAGGTGGGAGCCATGCCCATAGGCAATCATTGGTTTTCACATTTTTAGCGTGTAGGAACGCGCTGTAAAACGCCCAGGTGTGAAACAGGCCTAATTGTATGCAGCCGAAAACAATGAACCTGTATGTCTTATTGGACTCCTTGAAAACATGCAGGGCGTGTGAACAGAACAGCTTTGAATTGACCTGATCAACAGGTCTTTTTTTTTTACAATTGTGGAACAGATATAAACAACACTGTCAATGGTATATTTAGCAGATCAAACAGGCGCAACTAACTTCATTGTTTGGATTTACAGACCGTACAAACCATTCTTGCATGGTCCTGGGCCAACTGTGCTTCCAGTATGCAGCATTATTTCCTATAGTGGTACCTTCTAATTTTTCCTGTTATCTGGTTGTCAGAGACATTTGTACAACCAGTATCTGCCTTCCTTGCTGACCCCATTTATTTTTCATTTTATGTCCAAGATGATTGGTTCTCACATATTATTTATATTCATTATTTAAAGTTGAACAGAAATTTGAATTCCTGCATAATGTTTCTTTAAACTTAAAGTAAAACTATGGGCTGCAGCACTTAAAGTGACACTAAACATAACAGGAGTTAAATCTTAAAAATATATTTTAAGTACCTAAATATATTCAAGCTCACTCCTGTGATGCACTACAATCACAATACAAGTTAGTAAACTAAACGTGAGATCGTAGTCCATCACAGGAGCGAGCTTGGAGCGGTGGCTCCTTTACAAAACACATGGGGACCTTGGGGAACAATACTAGCCACCCTCCAGAAGGAAGGACCGAGTCAGCACCAGTTCAGAGATGATCTGAGGATCTACAGCCGAGTGATACACAAATAAGGTACATTTTTGTTAATAGTTAAGGTAATGCATTTTTAAGATTTGAAGCAGACTTTTACCCATATCTTTAAAATAAGAAACAAACAGACCTTTAGAAATGTTTAGTAATGACTATCTACAAACACATACTTCTAGATAATTGCAGGCTTTGTATTCCTTGCATACCTTATTTCTCTTTTCTTCCCCAGTCTTCTGACACTGGTCATGTTTACTAAGGGCAGATTACTAGCTCTCCTTTTCCTTAATTGATTTCTGGCACATGTGACTAGACATGTGACCATGCACATCATCTCGGGGAAGAAAAATTGTCTTTGCCTGAGATCTCATGAGATTACAGATAAGATTTCCCAGCAATGCTCTGCTGATGTCAAGGCAATCCCTGCGTGCATTGCTTTGGCAAAGTCATTTTGCCCTTTCAAAGCTGGAAGTGAATGCTCTGCAAGTGTATCTCAAAATCACAGCATTTTACACCTGACATGTCTGTTATTATTAATCATTATACATAGAGGGATGCATTGATAGAATTTGATTTTCTTGTAAAGGTCCGCTTTAAGGCTTCATTCAGACTTGCCACTTGCATTTTTGTGCAGTATATGCAGATAAAAATCTGTCAGGCTGGATACTGTTTATGCTTCTAGATGGGCTAATAGACGCACACATATGCATCTGCTATCACATTTTTTTACATGCATTTTGGCACATTTAAAGGTTAAAATTGGTTCCTGAATGCACCTGACTTCTATTTTTTTTAAACGCAGCTAAACTGCAGATATAAGCATCTAATTACAATGTGTGAACAGATCTATTGGAAATCATTAGATGCATATACACTATACTGCCAAAAGTATTAGGACGCCTTCCTTTACACGCACATGAACTTTAATGGCATCCCAGTCTTAGTCCGTAGGGTTCAATATTGAGTTGGCCCTCCCTTTTTCAGCTATAACAGCTTCAACTCTTTTGAGAATGCTGTCCAACATGTCTTTTTTTTTTATGCTGATGTCTTAAGAGTTCCCTTCACTGGAACTAAGGGGCCAAGCCCAACCCCTGAAAGACAACCCCATGCCATAATCCACCTTCCACCAAACATTACACTTGGCACAATGCAGTCAGGCAAGTACCGTTCTCCTGGCAACTGCCAAACCCAGAACATCGGATTGCCTTACAGAGACGTGTGATTCGTCACTCCAGAGAACACGTCTCTACTTCTCTAGAGTCCAGTGGTGGCGTGCTTTACACCACTGCATCCAACGCTTTGCATTGCACTTGGTGATGTAAGGCTTGGATGCATCTACTCCGGCCATAGAAACCCATTCCGTGGAGCTCTCTACGCACTGTTGTTGTGCCAATCTGAAGGCCACACGAAGTTTGGACGTCTGTAGCTATTGACTCTGCAGACAGTTGGCGACTTCTGCGCACTGTGCACTACAACATGCGCTGACCCCGCTCTGTCATTTTACGTGGCCAACACTTCGTGGCTTAGTTGCTGTTGTTCCCAGTTGCTTCCACTTTGTTATAATACCACTAACAGTTGACCGTGGAATATTTAGTAGCAAGGAAATTTCATGGAACACCAGAATCCAATGATTTGGAGTGTCCTAATACTTTTGGCAATATAGTGTATATAGGTTTAGAAAACCATTTTAAAGGCATATAAACGCATCTAATCGCACCTAGTATGAATGTAGGCTAACTCCTGAGTTACCTTTCATTATAAGTGCATTTGCACTGATTTTCTAAAGTCCCCCCACTACATGTTGAGCCTGTCAGTGAAGTCCACCTGATGCAGCTGGCTGCACTGTGGCTTCTGATGGGCGATAGCCTCCTGTGAGGGGAACCATTGAATACGCTTGTGTCACTTTTCCCTTGTGAGTACATTACCATTTTTTAAAAAGCAAATTATTAAACAATCCTTCACGTGGAGTGGGCGCTCCCTTTTTTTTTGTCATTCTTTAGATGTTAAAGTTGCCTGCCTTGTGGAGCTGCCCCAGTGTGATCAGGTGGAATCAATTAAGGAGGAGGGCTTTTGTGATTAATTTGCACCAGGAAGAGGTTGAATCCACCTGATGCAGCTACCTCTGATGACAGCGTGTATCACATATTAAGTTGAATTGGCACTTGTTTTGATTGTCATACAGAGCCTTTGGTTGAACACAACTGGAACTTAAACGATCTCTTTGGATGTTCACAATCATACTTGCACCTGTTTACGGACCAAGTGGCCAAACTTGTCTTAAGGTGCCCATACACTGCACGATTCTCGTACTAGAATCGCGGGAAATCCTTGGCGGGTTAGTGGCCTGCTTGTTCGACAACTGCCGAACGGGCTGGTGTGCGCACACTGCCCGTTTGCAGTGATTGGAAGCCCGCCCCTCATTGCGGTCATCGGAAGCCCGCCTTTCGATGATTGCAAGTATGATCTGCCTGTCCAAGATGGGCAGATCGTACGAGCTTTTAATAAGCTTACGACCATCGCAAGACAAAAGTCTTGCGATGGTCGTAAGGTGTATGGGCACCTTTATGTTTGGGGCATGGTTCTTTTGTGAATTCTCTGTGTCCAGAGAGTTTGTACATCACCTGATAGAAGCTCATCTATGGGGAAAATAAGATACCTTTTGTTTTAGACCGAGACTAATGGGAGTTTTTACTTATATGAAAGTAACTACTTAGCAATTTATTGTTAAAACTGAATTCCAGGCAGATGTAAGAATTACCAATTAATGTGGCTCTGTAGTCATTTAAATTTTTTTATTTTTAACTAAAATAGCATGAGTACCTGAATTCTAATTGTAATTTATTTGAATAGTAGAATTTTGAGAGAAGGGCCAGTGCTAGGGAGCAATCAGGTGTTCTACATGCACATGTGCAGACAATAAAAATGCTGCCATGAGGAGAGACATAGGGAACAAAGGGATGAGCACATAACTTTGCTGTTTCTTCACTGTCCAATCAGGAAGGTGGGTCAGGAAGGTGATCTAGCTTTATTGCTTATATGCACTAGAAAGTCAGAACTTTAACCTGCCTCTACTGTCTGACAGTTCAGGTAAATCTCAAAACTGGATGTACTGAAATACAAATTCTTTGGTGGGTAAAAATGTTTGAGTCTGGAGTTCAACCATTACAAATGAACCTATGAATATATTATTCTTTTGAGGAGAAAACTGGATAAAATTGTGCTTACTATTGCTTTGTTGGAATACAACAAATATACACTGCCTGTCCAAAAAAAGTTACCACCTGGATTTAGCTAAGCAAATGGGTAGGAGCCTTCCATTGGAAAATTTAATCTAGGTTCAGCAACGTTATGTTCCCAAAAAACGAGGACAGCTGCCTACGAGAATATACTGAATGACCAGGTTTTTTCATCAATGGATTTTTTTCTCTGCTGGCCAGGGCATATTCCAAGATGACAATGCCAGGATTCATCGGGCTCAAACTAACAAAGAGCACACGACATTTTCACACATGGATTGGCCATATAGAATCCCGACCTTAACCCCATTGAGAATATTTGGGATGTGCTAGAGAAGACTTTACACAGTGGTCCGTCTCTCCCATCATCAATACAAGATCTTGGTGAAAAATGAATGCAACATTGGATAGAAATATTGTGACATTGCATAAGCTTATCGAAATAATGACATGGTGAATGCATGCCTTTAATCAAAGCTAAAGGCGGTCCAACTAAATATTGGAGTGTGACTTTTGTTTTAGACAGGCAGTGTATTTTTAAGGGCTATAAGTGGTTGGGACAGTAGTTGTCTATGTGGTGAGGCAGTCCATCTGATACCCACCAAATATTTACTGCAAGTGAATCTTTTAGGTGCATGTGCTTTAACTGAGTAATTTTGATTCACCACCAGTAAATATATAGTGAAAAGTCAAATTCACTGTGTTTATAAACATGCCCGAAAATTTTTATCTTTTTACTCACTGCAAAACCTGCAATGCTTTTTGTTCTAACATACTTTTGTTATACATTTTTACTGTATATCACTAGTTCTTTTGTGCACAATAGCTTGTGTACTGGACTAGGCAATATTTAATGTTTTTGAATTCTTTTTTTTTTCTTTCCAAAAGGACATTTTTGGTTATCGAACTAGCACATGCCGAAAAGTGTTGTGCATTTTTGGATACATATTCACACTTGGATTTCTCATGCTTATATTCTACTGGAAGCCAGAGTGGCATGTGTGGGTCAACTGCATTCCATGTCCTCTCCGAGAAGCCGATGTTGTCTTGCTTAGAACCACAGTGAGTTGAAGAAGAAGCATTGTAGCGGATTTTATTATTAACTGTTATAGTTGTTTCCTTGTTTTACTGTTAAACAGTGCACTCAGCTGATCTGTTTCCTTTTAGGATGCCTTTAAAGAACACACATGGAAGAAAGTGCTGTCAATCCAGTTATCCGAATTTCAATACAAGTCCTTATATGCTTCCCCACAAGATGAATATTCGGTCATTAAAAAATCGGTGTTCCACTTAAGTTTATTACTACCACACAGAAGCTAGCAAGCCCCTGTGTGATAGCATTTAGAGGTGACATGTTCTCTTTATTGAACCTGTCCCCTCCAATAGAGGAGTTTGAGCACAGCACTGTGCTGGGTCTCCTGTGACAGCTGAGCTGAGATGGGAAGGCTAAGAGTGCAGCTCTCCTGTCTCAGTGTTTACACAGAGTGGAGAGCAGACGTTCTCCACTCTGCTCCCTGCTCTCCATCCTGAACTACCCTGCCGTGGTCCCGGGTCCCCCAGAAGAGCGGGGGACACTGAAGACCATGGTGGGGAGAGAGGCAGCCAGCGGGGACAAAGGCAGCTGGAGGTGGGGTGGGAGTGGCAGGGAGGGACAGAACTGCAGTCAAATTGATACCAGCAAGTGATCTTGGTGTTATCGCCGGGATCATTTTACTAAAACACCAGCTTCCCCGCTCCACAATGAGCCCTGCTTGCCTGAAGCAGGGATAAATGAAGAAAAAAACACTTGCCCCCCCCCCCCTCTACTCCCTGAGGCCAGGCCGTGGTGGCCTTGTGGGAAATGGTAAGGATGAATGGTATATCGGGGGAGGGGTGACACAACCCATTGATGGTGATGCATAAGGTTTAGTCTGAACAAAAAAATGAGACAATCGATTAAAAAAAACGAAAAAATGATGGAGATAATTGGAGTTCATGAAGGCAATCTAGGTTTCTATAAATGTTGATATTTTTCAAATAGATGTGCGGTAAGTTCCTCCCAATTGCATTAAGTGGTTAACCTCTATCACCCATTCTTTGATTATGGGGCCTGTCACAGCTCTGCAATGCCTGGTTATCAACTTCCTATTTGCTAATAGTGGAAATTGGCATATTCCCTTACAGTCCATGAAAAAAGGTTCTAGCATTATAGAGCGCATGGTAATTTCAGTAGATGGTTGGTGGGACATACCTAATAGGTGCTTATAAATTTGGAAAATGGTATTCCAGTAGACATGCCCACCAGATGTGTAACATTGATCCTCTAGTGTTTCCACTTCAGCGCCAATCGGGGACAATGGGGAAAAAAGTGTAGTTGGACAACTATACCATTGTGGTAGAAGTTTAAAAATCTGCTCCTGTACTGAACTAGATATAATACGCTTATGAGCTAGGATTTATTCCAACCATTGTCTAGAAGAATATGTCCCAACTCCCTTTCCTAGTCCACAGTGAAGTTCGGATGGCTATGAAATTCATGCATTTTTGACTATTGTAGAGTTTTGAGCATGTGTGCTTATATAAGGAAACCAGATATTCTGCGCTATTAGAAGTGAAGGAACATCTGTTGAATATACATGTAATGAGCCCCTTCTTTACTGCAAACAAATACATTGTATAAGGGGAGCTACACTCAGGGGCGCCACGAGGCTGGGTGACACCCAGAGCGGTAACCGAGTGTCACCCCGCCGAGACGTCACTGCCCACGCGCGTCAGTATGCTGATACCTGCCGGCAGAGAGAGGAGGGGACAGTCACATGGCGGGATAAGGTATGACGCCGGGTCCCCTCCTCTCTCCTGATACTGTTGGGCGTTCGGTCCATGACCGAGCGCCCGACTTTTCAGAGGGGGGTGACACCAAAATGACTGTGAGTCATTTTGGTGTCACCCCCCCCAATGGTGGCACCCGGGTGCGGGCCGCACCCCCTTTGTGATGCCACTGGTCTAACAGTGTATTTAGACAGGAACCAGTGTATATGTAAAAGGCAATACATCTGCAAATTTACACAAACATAATAAATATGTATATAAAATAAATTCAAATTGAAATCATAAAGAATGTGTTGCGGTCTTCTTTACGCAATGTGTCAAAAGTGATAAATATATGTGAGAGCACAGGGAAACACAATAAACAAAATGAATCAACTCAAAATTATCACGGTTCTTGGTTTCAGGATGGGTGCAGGTACGGTGTACGGTGTTTACGTATGGTACCTGCACCCATCCTGAAGCCAAGAACAGTGATAATCCCTGGTAGCCATACAGGATATATTTTTTCGGCTAAAGCAATGGTTCCCTTGCTGAAACATCAGGATTGGGAAGAGACCGCAACATCTTATCGGTAAAGGCGGATGGAATATTGACCTCCTTCTCCTTTCCCCGGAAAAAAAGACGGCTTTTTGTTTCTCCAGTATCTGGTGAGTGCAATCCCTACGGGGGTCTTCTTTTCTTCTGACAAACAACTTACTTTAGCACCTCCAACTGAGATATATCCCCCGAGTTCTCCATCAGCTTAAATTATGTATCTCCAGGATTAGGACACCATTGGACATTTCTTTGCTCCTTTTTTATACCAATTTTTGTTCTATTTTGTATCACACATGGTTCATATATTATACACCATTTATTCCTTTTTCATGTTTTAAACACTAACTTTTTGTTTTGTTTTTTACATACTAACCTGGTTGCACTGTGTATATAACGGTGGGTGGATTCACATCCATTATACGTTTATACATTCAGCTTAAACACATAGTTCACACAGTATATCAGCCTCTTTGGAGAGTTGATTCATTTCGTTTATTGTGTTTCCCTGTGCTCTCACATATATTTATCACTATTGACACATTGCATAAAGAAGACCGCAACACATTCTTTCTGATTTCGTTTTGAATTATTTTATATAAATATTTATTATGTTTGTATAAATTTGCAGATTTATTGCCTTTTACATATACACTGGTTCCTGTCTAAATACACCGTGAGACTTATAGCGCTGCACTACTGGCCAATTAACATGTGTGCTTATATGTCTGTGTTTTGTTTCAAATGGAGTGAGAGTTCTGCATAAGATGGTTATATAATTTTTTAAAATGTGGATAAAGTGAAATTAAAGGATCCATTCCCCCCCCATTTTAATGTCAGCACTTACCTTAAATTATGTCTCTTAAGCCGATCCTCTTCTTTCCCCATGTTATAATTGCATTTATGAATAGTAAAGCATAGCCATTGTGTAGCACTGCAGTGTTGAAAGTGGAGTCTGCGTATGTATTGAGGACTTCCCTTCTGTGCATATACTCTGTATTAGATAACCCATATCTGTGGGTTTTTTTTTCTATCCAATATAAAGTAAGACTAAATCTGTAAAACATGAGTGTTCTCCCTATTATCACTCCTGCCTATTACTGATGCAGGGTTCACCAAATTGTTTGCAGGAGCCCCTGTTGTAGAGGAACAGGGATTGCAAAAAAAAAAAGTAGGTTATGTGGTTTTCTGGAGGGCAGTCTGGATCTCGGAAGACGGTTTAGAGAAGAAAAGTTCCCACAAAAGTAAATGTAAGGCCTCATTTAGATGGGCAAAAAAGGGTGGATAGTTTGCTGTGTTTAGAGGTAGCCAATCTATCTATCTGCATCCAGAGATGTACAGAGGCTCTGTTTGAATGTAACTGCTGGAATGAGCAGTTACATGCGACCAGCGGTGGCGCTAGCCATTGATTTTTGCAGAATACAAATATGACAGTTGTGGCTGCTGGCCATGACTGATCACGCAAACTGTGTCCAGTGTAAAACCCTTGCTGACAGGAGTCACTGGATTCTTGCCTGTGGCAGTCCCTGGTGACCTGTGTGAATGTGTCCTAATAAGCATGACTCTTTAAACTCTGATTTCTAGAATTTGAATTGTTCCTATTACGGCAGCAATTGTATGGGTAAAAGATAAGTGACACATTCTTCATCCTGTCTACTTTTTGAAACGTGGTGTCGGTCATTTTCTCTGCCTATTTTGTTAAAAGGCAGATGCTAGAAGCTCCTTTTGATAATGATATTTGATGTGTATGTGCAATATTTGAAGAATCTGCATTGTCAGTGTGTTCATGAAATAATTACCATTTTTGTATTTTTATTTTGGAACTAAAATAGTAATAAGCAAACATGAATGGGTATGACTAGGTGATCGTTCCATTGCCATTTGTCTGAAGGTGTCATGATCAAGATTTTGTTCAAACTTTTATTTGCATGTAGCCACTTGTAAATAATGTGAAACCACATGAAAATATAGGAAGCAGTGTTCATATGTACACCAAAGGAAATTTGACTCCCGCAGGGTCATTTTGAGAGCACATGTTGATGTTCCTGGATGTTGATGGTCTCTGTAACACATTAAACATATAGTAACACATTAAACATTTTTTCAGTGTCAGGAAAAGAGAGCAAAGGATGGACCCTTTGTCCTTAAACCTTTAAGGACAAAGGGTCCATCCTTTGCTCTCTTTTCCTGACTGATCATCTGGTTTTCATATAATATGACTGACACCAGGACTATCATATAATGACTGACCTGTGTGTGAGGCACTATAAGTGTCAACAACCCCTGTCCAATATATGACACTCCTGTGTGTGAGGGCACATTAAATGGACAGGGATTGCTGACACTTGTAGCACACTCACACAGAGTCAATCCTGGATACACACAGCGGGACGTGCCAGGAGCTGCTGAGACCAGAGGCAGAGGTGTGGAGGAATGTGCTGGCGATGAGAAACCTGTGGCCGAGGAGGGAGGTGCTGAGGAGAAATGTGGGGGTACAGGGTCCTTGGCTGGCACCCGGCAAATTGCACTCCAAGCACCTGCTAGTAAAATAAATAACCTTGTTTTGCCGGTACATAGCTTGGGACTGGCGGGCCTAAGAAAATCTTGTGGCTGCCCTTTCTAGCCTGCGGGCCTTGCAATTAACATATGTGGTCTAGGGTTCCACCTAACTACCCACACATTGTACTGATGATAATTAGTAACACATTCCTTTATATAATAAAAGGTTCCTGACTGCCTACCAGCCTGGTCCTCATTCTTGCTCACTTTGCCCTGCCTGTGCATTTTCTTGTTTGTGGACCGGTGCACTTTTGCACATATAGCTCACTTACTGGGTTTGTAATTTAAGAACTTAAACAGAGGTAGGGATTAGTTAGCATTAATCTTCTAGAGGGTTGGCTTTTAAAGTGTACTGATGCACAATGTCTGAATGGTCTCTTTCGGACTCTCCATCCCAACATGTTTGTGAAGCGATCATGTCTGGCTAGGCAGTGTGATACTAAAAGAAGGCAGTGAATTGAAATAGATAATTGGTCTGAGACTAGTCAGAAACCATACATCCAGGCCTGAAGTTTAATAAAAACAATCGCAGCCAGAGAAAACATTACTAACATGTTGCAAACCTATTTTGACTGAGATTTCTTACTTTAAACATTAACATTTTCATTGCAAATATGAACCAAAAAAGCGCCAGATAGGACTGCTCAACCGTATAATAAAAACAAAATCTGTTTAAAATGGAAGCAGGTTGTGGAAAGTCTGCAGGATGCTGCCCCAAACCAGCCAGGGAGACTGCAAAAGCTAGGGAAAAAACACAAACAAGGGGCGCCTTTCCTGGTGCAGACAAATTTATTAAGAAGAAAAGTAAATGTGAAACATACTCGCAAAGGTCGTCATGATTACAGTATAAAAGTAAGTGCATGGACCCAAGAAGAAGCCTGTGATTACTGCACAACCGTGTCTGTGTGTCAGCAAAGAAGACTGTGTGATGACGCGTTTCCGGGGGCACGCCCCCTTCATCAGATCCTGATGAAGGGGGCATGACCCCGGAAACGCGTCATCACACAGTCTTCTTTGCTGACACGCAGACAATCATGCCAACCTTTTGTGAGTATGTTTCACATTTACTTTTGCTTTTGTTCTTAATACATTTGTCTGCACCAGGAAAGGCGCCCCTTGTTTGTGTTTATTAACATTTTCATGTTCAAAGTAAGAAATCTAAACCAAAATGAATTTCTTACCGGTAGGAAATGTTTCACTGACTGCAATTGTTTTTAGTATAGACCTATACCTAAAATTTGAAGTGTCGTTGTATAGCAGAGATCAATCAAGCAATTAGTAAAAAAAAAAAAAACCTGTGGCATATAAATACCAATAAGAAGTAGCAGAGCACTTTTGCACATGTGACCCTGCCTTGGCAACCTCTGTTCTTCTAGCCTATCAATAGTTTTATATCATCCTACACACATTGACCTCCGATCAATTATTGACCTTAAAGTGATAGCTTAAACACATTTTGACTTTACTATTTCAAATGCTGATTAAATCACGTACAATGGGTTCTGCTCCTTGATGTTTAAAAGTTTGTTTTCCACAGAATCAACTGGTCTCCTCAGCATTGGCCCTGCTATCCTGTTTTACAGTGGCTCCTTTCCCTTGCAGGGTCTTATGGAGCCACCCTTGTGTGTGCTAGTAACCTGTGTTTGTGTCTCTGCAAACACACAGGCCTAGCAGGGAAAGTGACTCTTCTCCTTCCTCTTTCTGCAAGTTAGTAGATGGGCAGCTGCTGCAGACTGCTTTGTTCTTTGTGATCTTGTACTGTGCAGGAAGTTCAGGGAAGCCAAGCTAAGAGTATTTGAGCCGACTGTTTGGAAAGATGACGACTGTAAGTGTTTGGGGACAAATGTAAAGAAATACTTTGCAGGGAAATGTATATTTGTTAGATCTGGATTCATTATTGAAAAAAAAGATTGAGTGTTTTTAATGCTACTTTAAGTTGTCTTCAGGGGTCTGGAACAGGAACAGCTGCCAAGGATTAGCTTGCACCTCCATTGATATGGTTGCTGTCTCACAGCCTTGCAGCACTATGGAGTGGATTCAAGTTTATTTCCACCTTTGCAACCAAATTGGGATAACACCTATTTTATATTTGTTAAATTTTCCCATTTACATAGCATTCGCTACAAAAAATGCTTCTTGCATTTTAAATTGTCTTTTACTTGGATTAGGGTTTCTTGGCTTCTTAAGGGTTAAACTTTCTACTCGCTTCTCATTCTTTGTAATGTTAGGAGGGGGGGTGAAGGGTGAGGGGTTTTTAACGCTGTCTGTACTGTGTTGGCTCATTTCCTTCTAGTTTTGTAAAGTAGATTTAAACCGGCTGTCCTAACAAGGGATGAAGCCTGATCTCTGCATTGTATGTTAATGAGAGAAACGCAATCCACAAATTTCAGTCCTTAGTCTTTCTGTAAGGGTAGATCACTGTGAAGGTGCTCAGAAAAATCTTGGGTGCATCCATGTTGCCTGTGGCAACAAACATATAAAATGTAAGGAATGTGTGTTTTAAAAAAACATATTTTCTCATTATGCTGTGTGAATAGGGACACACAAGAAACCTATTGAGGGGTTCTCAAATTTGACTGCAAATTAGAAATACACTTGAGGTGGGCCTTGGCAAATGGGCAGCTGCAGAGTGCCTACTGTAAGTGCTATATAATGAAACAATTTACTTGTATTGTACTGTTCTAAAGGATGAGGTTGCCGGAGTCTTGGTTCACTTGAGGGCCTCGATCACAATGTGTTGGAGGACAGTTTTCTTCTGTTCTGTTGTTCCAGCATGGGGGCCTGCCGGATGAAGCCAAAGAAAATGATCATGCTTAATCCCTTGTGTTTATATTTATATGTATGGTTATCTAATTTTAAAATCTTAAGGTATACCTTTTTGTTTTCTGTAGATTAGATATATACAAGTGCAGAAAATCCGATACATATGGGATGACCATGAAAAACTGTTTGCTAAAGCTGGGTAAGTTTTTATGGAAAATCCTTTTTTGGGATAGCACGTCACATAATGTCATCCTAATGATTGTCTCCTTCTGTTTCAGAGTCTTGGAAGATTACTACACCTGTGCCTCCATACATGAAAATTTTGGGGATGGATTTGGCAAGGAGGAGCAGGATGTTAGGTAAACACATTTAAGGAAATATTTCAAACCTGAAACCTTTTTCTTACCACACCACCTATATAACAAGGGAAACATGAAGCATGATGAAGAGAAGGGTGGTTAAAGGAGTTCTAAAGTTCACAGCATATACTATCCTGTCATAACCTCATGTAAGAGAAATACATGCTGTATTAGTTTTGATAATGCAATCAGAGCTTACTTGGAAAAACAAACAAACATTTTTATGTAGTGAGTGCTGCCTTCTGTCTGCCAATAACTTTGAACAATTTCCTGGATTCCCACTGTGCTTTACATCTCTTTCCCTGGTGCTTGCTGTGATGCAACCTCGATTTCTCAAGACTACATATCCCATCATGCATTGCTTCCAGCAAGCATTGATAATATTATATTGTGGGAAGTTTAGGCACTAAGTTGTACTGTAGTTCAGACACCAGGTTTTATTAGACTGGTGACACAAGGAAGAACATATTCACAGGGCTAGAGTAAAATTGTGTCACTGTATTGAGAAGTACAACCTATGGGCCTCTTCAAAGAGTACTGTAAGTTTACAAACTTTTATGTGGATATGGTTATTAGGAGTGGGGTAGAAGTTCTGGAAATTCAATACAGAAATACATGTTTTAGTTTTTTTTACCATAGATATCCTTTAAGGAAATAAGGAATATAATAAAGCAGGGCTCAAAATTTCTAGTCATGAGCTACTAGCCAGGCCTTAAGGCTGCGTTCACACCTGACGGTTTTGTAGCGCGTCCTACGCTCGACGAACGCTCTACAAAACGGTCCAAAAAATAAATAGCATTGTAGTCAATGCCCTCGTTCCCACCTAGGCATATTTCCGCCCGTCCCTAACGCCCTACAAAACGGCCCACGCCTGAAAAGGTCCCGGGACTACTTTGGGCCGTTTTGTAGGGCGTTTTCCATTTGGATACTGCCAAGTAGCCTTTGGAATCGCGCGACGGTCGCGCGACTTTTTTACCGCGAATCGCGGTAAAAAAACCGCGTGACGGTCGCGCGACAGAGGCGCAAATTACAATACGCCTAGGTGTGAATAGGGCCTTAGAGTTACTAGTCACCAGTTGCCCCACCTAACCCTTACCCTGCCCCGGCCTTAACTCCGCCCCTAAACACACCCTCTTAAATAATCGCATGATTCTTATATTAACCCCTCCACACAATTATAATACACTCAGCCAGAATCAGAAAATGCCAATGGTCGGTTTTGCACCAAGAAGAATGTTGCCCATCACAAATGCTATTGATTAACTTTTCTGCATGATAACATCTGGAAACAAAAACTACCCTGTGAATCTTTTCTAGGAGGCTCATCTGTGGGCAGAATATCATTGATGTTGGTATCACTCCAATATGGAAACTGCTCTTTAAAGAGGTAATATTATCCAGTTACAATCATTTTAGAACATGTTGTTCATGGCTTCAGTTCTCTCATGGCTTTTTGACAATACTGCACCAGAAGGCACTCCATTATCCTTTGCTTGGTTTCTAAGAGGTTAAGAATATTTTAAATTGCAAAATAAAACGCTTAATTACAACTGTAATTTTGTTGCAGCAATATCTGGTTCTGGAGAAACAAAACATTTGCATCTTTCTGATTTAATTTGGTTTTGGCTAATCACTAATTATTATGTTTACAATGTTTTGGGAAGAATACCTGAGCCAAATGAGGGCCTTCCCTGATCCACACAAACAAATATGCACTGGTTCTACTCTGACCTCACCTGTATGCAGGAGTCCTGATGGGAGCAAACGATTCCTCTAAGGTCCCGTTCACACCTGAGCGTTTTAATGCGCGTTCCTACTCTCGGTAAAACGCGCAACAGGTGAAAACCCATGTTTGCCTATAGGCATGGTTCTCACCTGCACGTTTTACCGTCTGTTCGATCGCGGGATAAAACGCCATACGCCCAAAGAAGTACATGAGCTTCTTTGGGGCGTATTGACGCCCGTATCCCGCTGTTATCAACCGGATACCCCCTCGGAAACTCGCGTTTGACGCGCCTTTCTTTTACCGCAAATCGCGGTAAAACCGCGCTGTAAGAAACGTGCGGCAAACGCGAGTTTCCAATATGGTAAGGTGTGAACCCAGCCTAAGGGTTATAAGTACATTCAAAACTGGATTGCTGCCAATATCTGCTTCTGATGCAACACTTTTTCAGATAAAACTAATAAATAGTAATTTGTATGATATTATTTGTTCTTAAAGTGTATGCAAACCCTTATACTCTCCCAAGGAATATAGGTTGGGCATACAAATGGTAAGCAATATATAAATAAAACACTGGTATCTAAATTTCACAAATACCTTTTTTATCTTACTATTCCAGGTCCTGTGATCGCTTTGCTTTTTCTGTGCACTGCATGGCCCCGGTCGGAACCGCAGAGCAGAGTGGAGCAAATGCGATCGTGACTGCTACAGAGTGCTAATATAAAGATTAGTTTTGACATAGTAATTGTCATTTGTATCCTGGGGTTGCTTGTTTTATAGCTTTCAAGGCCCCAAGGCACCAGGTCCTGTCATACCCTCAAACCTCCATCAGGTATCAAATTCCTAGCTAGGACCGTCCCGTTGGGTGTTTCTGCATGAGACGTGGTCAGCTGGAAGATGCATAGAATAAAACATGCTGACCTGAAGTATGAGAAAGAATGGGGGCATTCTCACCTTGGTGGCAATGCTGCTGAGGCTAGATCGGCGTATGGAGTGTGCCACCAGAAACGGGGAAGTGAAAGTAACTGGAAGGATGAGGTATTTTCGCCTTACTGGAATGATTTTAGATAAAACTAGTGGCACACATAGTTAATTTTTATAGAGAACCTATAATGAAGACATTTTTATTTTGTCTTTACTGACACTTCAAATACAATAACATTTTGGTAAATACTATGTTTAATTCAGCCAGCTAATGCAAACACAAATATGTGCCCAATGGATGCTGCTAATTTACTATATTTATTGTAATTATTTGCCCGAGCAGTTGGGGGATAAAAAGCACATTATAACTTTTTAAAATACAGCACTTATTTTAATATCCTATATATGCATGCATCCAACAGTAATAGACATGTATACATGTGGGAAACTGCAGGTACCTGTATCCAATTAAAATACCTTAGTCTCTCTTAACTGCTGCCATGTATCCAGGAAAGATGCAAACGGGCAGCACAGTGGCATAGTGGTTTGCACTTCTGCCTTGCAGGTCCCCGGTTCAAATCACGATCAGGACACTATCTGCAACGAGTTTGCATGTTCTCCTTGCTTGGTTGGGTTTCCTCCGGGTAGTTTGGGTAGTTTCCTTAAATGTGTTTTTTTGTAAGTAAATATTGTAGCTACCTGATATTGGCTTGGCATCATCCTCTTGGAATCCCTGTGCAACAGTGCTCAGACTGGGGGAAGAGTCAGTAGCACAATGAGCCAACCGATTGTGCTGCAGTGCAAGGGACCATGTCTATTGGAGGAGAGAGATACATTCATGAAACTACTTCTTCTCCTTTCATTGTCCAGTCACAGACTGGGAGAAGCACGCATACGCGTTGCTTTTTTTGTGTTCTGCCATAAAAGTGCTATGCTGTGTTAGGGAGCTGTGTTGATCTCAGAACTGCATGCACAGAAATGCTACCACTTTGATACGTTGACAATTTAAAATGGCCATATATGTATTTAATTTGTGTATTTAGCTATTTGTCTGAAGTTTAGCTTTTATCTTTCATAGAATTCTATTCCATTTAATTTCTGAATAACTCAATTGTTTTTTGTAGGTGTTGAGTCCATTCTATGTGTTCCAACTGTTTAGTGTGTGCCTTTGGTTTGCTGAAGAATACATTGAATATTCTGTGGCCATCATTATTATGTCGTTAATTTGTATTGGCCTCTCTGTTTACACTCTACGACAGGTATGTTTCCTGTTTTCAATTTTTAGAAGTGTTTCGATAGAAGTGACGCATATGTTATGTCCTAGAGTGGATTAGATGTCACCATTCTACTCATTGGCAGGTTCATCATTTACACAATGATAGAGTGTGGTTTGTACACGTGGACAATATCTGTACGCATGTTCTAAGAGTGGGGTTTGTACACGTGGACAATATCTGTACGCATGTTCTAAGAGTGGGGTTTGTACACGTGGACAATATCTGTACGCATGTTCTAAGAGTGGGGTTTGTACACGTGGACAATATCTGTACGCATGTTCTAAGAGTGGGGTTTGTACACGTGGACAATATCTGTACGCATGTTCTAAGAGATCACATGTGTATCCCTACAACAATTTCCATAGTGTCCCTTGACTTTGATAATTATCTGCATGTTTGGCTCTGGGGACTTTGTGATTTCTAGTCACTGCTTAGCATCACTGATGTTTGCGAACTTCGTATCCTGTAATCGAATATCTCCATGCTTCATTACATACATTGGGAAGTAAACACTTTAATCAAGGCCATGACCTTTATTGAGAGATGTTATTGCACATCGTTCCTTCCATGATCAGAGAAAATTCACTGGTTTAGGAACACAGTTACAATAATTACCTGGCCGAGATTCGAACGCTTTCATATTTTACTGAGAAAAAGAGTTTTGTTGCAGTTAACACCAGAGAGTGTTCCTGTCCTGATATAATTTCTTTTAGGTTTGGTAACATTTGGATTCTTAATGCAGTGGGACATATATGTACTCAGCACAGTCATGTGCCTAGAATCACCTGTATTCACATTGCCCAACTCCTGGTAGTGGAAGCAGGTAGTGAATGTGATGAACATGCTCAACAGGCATTTAAGGGGATGATGATGAGAAGCAGCCACTGATAAATCTATGAATTGCTGAATGTGCAAAAGGCTGTAACATTCCCCATATTGTTAATATATGAACATTACTGAGACATGGTTTTCTCCACGAAGAAAAGGGAACTTTAGATGTGCAGTGAAATGGATCAACTTTAGTGAATGTATTAGAATGGAAATTCAAGATATTGGGCAACCAAATATAAAAAAAAATCTGAATCTGGCAAATAGGAGGCCTAATCTGTATAGTGAATAGATTGTACAGTATATGTACGATGACATTTCTGTTAATTCCCTTTTTTTGTAATGTAAAAAATGCGCCACTTAGTGATATAAACGTGTAGGCTGATGTGATTTGTAGCATGAGGTTTTTCCAGCCCATGCATTCACAGGCTGTTTGGTCCATTCATGGTCAGATGTTATCGATAGCTTTGCATGGGAGGACTAAGGCTGTGTACACAGAAGCATCTTTATACCTCTTTGTCCATGTCTTTGGTGATCTTTAATGGAATCCATTTCCAAACTTCATTTCTACTTTAAAAGGGAATATACTGTATATCGAGCTACTGATACTATGGTTAAATCGTAACTGAACTCTCCATGTCTAACTATCCACCAAATGCATGCGTACTGGTCTGCTCAAACCACATTTCCGAACTTTTGATAAGAAGTACCATTCTTATTCATTGCTGCTGTTACCTTCAGTAACAATGGGAGGTCTGGTGTGGGCAACAATATCATAAGTGGGCATTTTGTATGTGATCTTACATGCCGGCATGTACTTCTGTATTTCTTTTGCGAGTGAGCAATGGAGGGTGGCTCTGCTCCCAGATACACAGGGACCATGTAGAGCTGACATAGCCACTCTCAATAAGAAAGATAGAGCCGAGCAGACTGAAAACTTATTTTTATGGGTGTGTCTGTTACTGCCTTTTTTAAATTGCAAAGTTGAATAGATGAGTAACATTTAAGGTACTGAATCTTATTGGTTTTTTTTTTTTCATTGTGGGTTTAGTGATCTATTAAGTGGTTAAAAGTATTGACTGTTTCAAAGTTATTAAGCAAAAAATATGCTCCACTTGCTTCCGATGCTGTTTCTAACGCTTTACACGCTTCATTTACAGCAATCATTTAAACTGCACAAACTAGTAGAATCTCATAATAACATCAAGGTTTCTGTGTATGGAAAACAGAAAGGTAAGTTGTATGTGGTGTGAAGAGAAAAAAAAAAGACGTTCCCTTAGTAATAAATCTCACGTTTAGTTTACTAATTTGTATTGCGATTTGAAGTCCATCACTGGAGCGAGCTTGGAGTGGTGGCTGCTTTACAACACACACGTACAGGTACCATAGGGAAAAAAGGTAGCCACCCTCCAGAAGGAAGGACAGTGTCCGCACCAATTCAGAAATGATTTGAGGATCTACAGCTGAGTGATACACTTAAGTTGCATTTTTGTTAATAGTTAAGGTACTTGAATGCATTTTTAAGATTTAAGCACTGAGTCTAGTGTCAATCATTACTGTCACAGGAGGCCAAGCGGTGTGGGAGGAGAGCGTTGTGAGCGGCCGGTGTCTCTCCTTCGGTGTCTCTATCCCGCACCGCCCAGCCTCCTGTGACAGCGTGTCAGGATGGAGAGCGAATGTAGTAGATCCCATCGCACTAGTGAGTGGATAAAGCCCAAATGAAAAACTGGGGGGTGCCGAAAGTGACCGCGGATGCCTGCGCACATCAGATGCAAAATACCATAAGGTCACTCGCACTCCGTTTGTAGATAACAATTTCCTTTATTGACTGAACATAAAGTCACATAACAAAGCGACGTTTCGGGACCAGGCAGTCCCTTCAGGCATACAAAAGTGTCTCGCTTTGTTATGTGACTTCATGTTCAGTCAATAAAGGAGTTTGACTGTTATCTACAAACGGAGGATGATGAGCGAGGTACAAACACTCAGCGATCTGTGATCGCTGAGTGTTTGTGAATAATTGAGGACATAGTATGTTTACTGTGTCCTCAATTATGAATGAATGGGAAGTGATCTAAATCACTTCCTGTTCATTCATGAGTGTGGATATACTAAACCTACTATGTCCACATGTTATGAATGAACAGTAACACCCAGTATAGAGGATTCCTGTTCATTTATAACAGGGTCTGAAGAACAAGAGATTGAGGAGTCTGTCCTTAATCTCTTTTTTCTATTTTAAAAGGGCAATATCAGGGGTCTGTTTAGACCCCTAACATTTCCCGAAGCCCCTAAAAGAAAAGGAAAAAATAAATATATTTTTTAAATGAATAAATATAAAACAATAAAAGTTTATGAATTTATTTTTTTTGAAAACTAAAACTTAAAATAAAAAACATTTTCAGTTTCAGCCTGACCTTCTTCTCTTTTTTTTTTTTCCCTTCGTTTTTGAAATTTTCATTTCGGCGCACCTCCTAGATGGCATATTTTTAGTAACTAGGTTACTAAATTGCCAGCTAAATAGTTAGTTAGTTATTATTTGGCATGGTTTGGTCTAATTTCTGCTTGGAGTGGTGGCTGCTTTACAACACGCACGCACAGGGACCATGGGGAACAAAAGTAGCTACCCTCCAGAAGGTGGCAGACCCCAATCTTCTGGAAATCCTATTGATTTACTGAGGGTATTTGTTTGGTTCCTGGCGACAGTTTTGTGGATGATAATCCATCAAAATGTTATGGATATTGTGGGACAGCAGGAAGGTGGAAGTCATTTTGTGTGGGATTATTTTGGATAACAATGTAAATAACCAGCTGAATAAATGAAGTAACAAAGTTGAAATCACATTAGAACAATGGCATAGTAAGCAAACAACACTGGCAGTTTGCCTCATGCAAATTTTGTGGTCAAACATACATTTGTTTGTATGATGCATAAGACAAATGTCAAACAGTTTTACAGTTTTCCATGAGAAGTCATCTCTTGCGAAATGTGCAACAAGAACAGGTTTAATTTAGAAACTGAAGTATACATTTTTTTAAAATATTTTTTTAACCAATTCAATTTTATTTTATTTAAAAAAAAAAAACCCAGTACTACCTGGATTTTTGTTGTTGCCTTATACATGCATGATTAGGCATACCTAGCTTGGTTGAAATTCTTAAAAACGGGTCATAAAAGTGTTGTGGTAGCAAGACTTTAAACTGAAGGATTATTTAAAGCAGTCATTTTAGAATTAGTTTAGATTGCTACAAAACTCCTGCAGTCAATAATAGCTCAAATTATCTGAAAACACCATAATTGTGCTGCCCCAATGGGGTATAGAATGTTATTAGCATCATTAATAGATTAGAGTTTATATAGTGTGTTTGCCTATATATTTTCTCATAGCTAAATCTATGTTTTATTCTATGCTGCCATCTAGTGGCCTTTTGTTGTAATGTACATGTTTTTCTGTGATTCTGTGTGATGTCTACGATGTATTTCCTCTTTGTATGTAATGCCCCACCCTTCTTCCTGAGTGCAGTACTTCCTGTGTCATGGCCACAGCTACAGGCCACATGTAACTAGGACACATATACTCTGCGCAGTATGATAGACAAGGCATCATTTTCTGACCGCACAATACTATAACCATTCAACTGCTGTTCCTATCATCTGATGTTAAGAATAAACACCTCTTTTGATTGAATCTGTATTGACGAGTTCAGCTATTTGACAAGGATTGTCCGCAGTGAGTATATCTGCTTATACAGGCCAGGCATAGAGGTCTCAGCAAGGGATATATTTCGCTATCACAACAATCGGAGTCAGAATAATAATACCTTAAAATTGACTTTTATAATTGTGTTATGTTTTAATAATGTAAGTGAGATGATTACCATACTGACTTATAAAACTACTTTATTAATCTATAGCCTGCATACAATATATGAAATATGCCTTTTCACCCATAGTAGCTAACCACCTTGTTTTCTTGGGTATGTGTCGTATTTGCAGCACTGAAGAACGTATCTGACCATTCCTCGGTTGTGCTGCTTTTTCTTAATCGCCATTACACAGTGCAGAGAAAAAAAACTAACAATTTGTCCAAAAGTGCCAGGGTCCGGAGCGACGGGCAAATTAATGACTTCAACTACCGCAGGTTTACTTCTACCAGAACCTGCGTATTTGTTTAAACTTCTACATGAGGATTGGCAGTGGCTCCTCATATAAACTAATGCTGCAATGCAAAATACACTTAGCACTACTGTATGGCCAGCGGTATATCAATGATCCTGCAAAACCGGGAACCATCTGTCAAAATGACAGCCGCTCTTGGCAGCAGCAAATGCTTCTCCCAAGGCGGCGCTTGCAAACATGAGCCTACCATGCCTTCTGGAAATTCTGGCCCTACCTAGAAAGAGAGTCCTGTTTTAAGTAGGTGATGACTCTTCAACTTTTTGCACAGCAGTGAAGGTCAATGCCCTAAAAGATTCTTCAGTTTTGCATCGAGTCTAAGCTTTTACAAAATAACACCTTTAAGGGGGCTACAACTTAATGAAATTTTTTTTTTTTTTAAGGGTACAAATGATAGAAAGACTTTAATATGAATGATATCTCATCATGCCCTTTGGGAATTGCAATGTTCCTGCAGTATTTCAAGAATTTTTAATGTGGTTTTCGGAACTTCTCGTAGTCTTTGTACAAATAAGGGTTCTGTAGTGGCCGTAAAGAAGGCATTTAAGGCAAAATTTAAAAATACCCATTCAACTTCCCTCAGGTTACCTTCTTGGGGGATTTCCCTAAAGGATGTTTTGCAGTGGCTCCAGTCAAGCTCCAAGGTGTTCAAAATTGAACCCAGCAGCTAGAAAGCCCCTCAACACTTTTTGGGGTTTCCAATTTTTTTTTATGGTCC